TGATGACCGTTTTGGCATCATGGGAGTGAGAGAGGATTGTGTTTCACACCGTTGGTAATCGCATGATACCATAGGTAGGTGCACGTTTTCCGCTTGTAGCTCCATTACCTGTTTGATCCAACTTTCAAGCGAATGCAAGATCTTTTGCTAATTCAATTCAATAGGACATACTGGTTGACCTCCAATACACTTTTGAGAACACGATTCGTTCTCCGGTTTTTACATCCACTCATCTCCCTTCCCCGTCGAAGTACGGATGTGGGGGGTGTCAATAGGGATGAGGTCCCAGTATAGTCGCTATACAGGTACATGCCATATACTTTTGGCTCAAGTGCCCAACCAGGTAAAAAGGAGCTTTAGCGCGCGAGCTTCATGTTGACCTAAGAGCTAGAACGGGGCCAGGGCACACCTTTCCATCCGTTCACATTTTCCATGGCTTTCCACTGAAATGGGGGCAGTGATGACAATCGCAGCTCATCCTCAACAAATCCCTGCAGTCCACAGTTCATCATAGCTCCTTCTATGCGGGTCCCGTTTTGGGAGCAACACACCGGGTGATCCAAGTCTTCCGTGGTGGCTGAGGTTGGGCTCCTGGCCTTTGCGATGGATGGCCAACCAGATGGCCTACTTCGACAAGGCGACATCGATTCGATATGAGCGAAATCCTTGTTGTCAATGTTTCGATACCCTCCAAGTGAGATGAAATATGATCGACATCCATGGACTGTGCTGCTGGTGCTGTTCTGGACACTGTCAGGTACATTGATTTTATGAGGGGTGACCTGTGTTCAAAGGACGTGGTGCTCATTCGAGATCCATATCCATTTGTTGTTTGCCATATCGTGTGGTCGAGATAGATTACTGCACCCTGCACATGTTACACATGTACCAAAATACGGGTCGCCCTGACCTTTATCCTGTCACCCAAACCTGCGATGCAAAGATGTGCCTTTCTTTCCTTGATCCCATCTCTCAGTTGTAGGGTGACTCCAACCTTCAAAATGACAGTGGGATGCAATGGGCCTCGCCAAAAAAGCTAGTGCAAAACCAAGCGGACAACATATGCCAACCGCAACATAAATTAACATGTACCAATTCAACAAGGATCATCCCAGTCACCCTGTGTGTCCAAACGACTTTGGACCTGTCGACGAGCTGGTTTGCAAAGTTACGAGGAGCGCTACGCCACAGAGGACGCGGTGCGTGTGGGGCGGCTGCACGTGGAAACCGACGGCTGGGAAGAGGCCCGGTTCGGAGATGAGGTGTCTGGTGTTTCTGACGCGGGTGTTCGTATGGTTCGGCCATGAGGTGTTTGAAGTGGTACGTTTGGAAGGCTGGCTTTTGAGCAGATATATGATGTGGGATATACGGATTGTTGTGTGTTGTTGACTTGCTTTTCTCCAAGTCCAAACCCTGGGAGCACTAAAATAGCAAAGCACACAAACCTCCATGGCCGGAGACGGCCATTTATCGGCACAGCCACCAAAGCCTTGGACTACCATTGAGTTCCAAGCCTTGGAATGTACCTTCCAGGCGAGCTTGGACTACCTCAACTCAGGGGGCTACACCTTGTCTCCCTTGGCCTCTTGGAACGACATGGACGAGTGGAGAAATCGGACCTGGCGTCGGACCCAAGGGACCAAACGCCATCCACCTCCCGTTGAGTGGGTCAGGGCGCACTATACACTTGCGTTCGACGTGAGTGGCACATAACTATATTCTTGTGATGGTGTTGTGCTTGCTCTCTACATACTGCACAAGAACAAGAAGCCAAGGTCACCCACCTCTACTGTTGCCTATAGACTTTGAAAACACGGCCGACGTTGATGATTATTGCCCGTGAGCACAGTGCTGCGTTGCAGGATGAGTAGATGACGGGCACAAACTATAACTACAGCTGGTCATTTCACCATGTTTCGTGGTCCCCCAGTCGATTGAGGTGTCGCAGGTCGCTGCGCCGACACTCATGTCCCTGGGCGGACTAATCAGGGTGCTGGGATTGATCCGATCTTGCGATGGACCGCGTATCACTGGGACAAGTTTCTGGAGCATCCTGGATCTGAAGAAAGGGTATTCAATGGAACTTCACAAGGGTGTAGGGTGTGCTTGGATATGCTTGGATGGCTCTTGTTGGATTCCCTGAAATTTTGCCATTCAATGTCTAAGTCTATACTTATGTCCCGCAGCGGGCAGGCAGTGTGAGAGTTCCTAGTCTACAATCACCCAACTCAACTTGTAACTTGATGCAAGAATTGGCTAAGTTAGCATAGTGTTCCTAGCATAGGGTTGTACTGAACAGTGAAGTGGGAATGGCAAAGAAAAAACACACATTTGCATGTTTCCAGTGAACAGGTTCCTGCTAGGAAGGTCTTCAAATAAGCCCTGGTTGATCATGTGATGCTGTACACTTCAATTCATTCGAGCCCGATGCAGAAACCACCTGATGGATCCTGATGGTCCAATGGATACAGTGACCTCACATACCTCCCAACTGAGATTCTCATGTTGGCCATGTGCACTGAGGATTTGGGGCGAGAATGATGCCGCTCCGCTCAATTGAGCAGGGAACAAGGAAACAGTCAATGTTCGGCCTCCATGTTTTGCGTTTTGAAGACATTCATTTCGGAACCATGTGCCTCCTTCCTTGTATTTACGTGTTAGACGCTGTTAGACTCGTTATCCTCTTACAGTCACGATGTCCGCACACCAGAATATTCACTGTCCATCACTGTCCTATTTATTGTTTGGGGTCACTACAACTTGTCTCGACATTCTACTAACTGAGCAACCCATGCGGTGGCCGATATGAGCTCCCATATGAGCTCCCAAGGAAATCTTGGACGTTCAAGAGCAAGTGCCACGTTTCCAAGAAGAACTTCGATGCCCCGTTCAGCTACAGTGGATCAAGGCCTGCTGTTGGTTTCTATCACGTTGTGGTGACTGCAGGTGCTGCCGGTTCCTCCTTGTTTCGGAGCTGATAAGGCTTCCAGTGATTAGAGGGCCATACTTATCCATACTTAGTTGTCTGTGAGATCGTTTCATGTTCCACAACTGTCGGATGGCTGCCTTCAGAATTTCATATAGAACATTCCTTGTCACCAAAACTGAACTGACTTCAAAAATCCAAACATATCCACATTCAGTCAGCTCCTGTTCCGCTTTCCTCCCGATGTTTCCTGCGGCCAGGACAGTGGCCACGTGCCACACCTGGAGTCTCTTGGATTCAAGATCCCATCGATGTCGGAGTGGATCGATGGAGATGTGGCAGGAGTTCCGGGACACAAAGAGCCAAGAAGTCAGGTAGTTTTATAACGGTTCATGGAAGAGATGGAGACTAGCACCAGATAAAACCAACACAAGCATCCAAACAGTGCAACTTAAGGTGGGCGTGGGCACTGTGAGGTTGGGTTTGTCACTAGTTGCAAGCCGCTGAGGAGATTACCTTATTATAGATTACCTATATATAGATACCTACAGTGGGCTTTGTTGAACGAACACTTCTACACTAGCATCATTAGTGAGGACTCCCTGTTCCAAGGGCCTTGTCTTCCTTCTTCTATACAACACCAGCAGATCCTCTTTGTATCGATCATGCCGAAAGTCCGATCCTTGTCCGATCCCTCCGATCCGTCCGAGGAAGCCGGCGGAGACCGCCAAGGCCATCCAGGTCGGTGGGATGCGTTTCGCCAGAGTGGACCAGCCGGTGTGGAAGTATACTCCCCCGCAAACTATAACATAGAACCTGAGAATTGACCTGTGGAAGACCATTTTCCTCTACAACCCAGTGGTTTTGGGCTTCCATGTTAATCTGCACACTGCAGGGGAGTATTTGTATGTTTGGATTAGAGAGCTTCAAAAGCCTTTAAGATACTGTCACCATTCTGTTTGTGTCGAATTCTGGGTGGGACATGTACCTCAACCACCAAACTATTTGCGATGAAGAACATGTTGCGCTGGTGGGACAGGCGGAGAAATTCCAGAGAACATTGTCCACTAGAGGCAGCAAAGTCACAGCCTTTGCATGTCTCAACCACAATATGCAACCATAGTTCTTTGGATTTTTGAGGCATGGTAAGCATCCAACAGCGCGAGGGTGGTGTGAAGTTGTGTGTGACTTTGCCATGGTTTTGGCCAGGTCTTCCTCGACTCCAAGCAGTGATGGCAGTAGCTGGCTGCGTCCATTGGATCGGAGATGTCTCCTCGTTGCAAAAGGGGGGGAGAGCTGTGGAACGTTGGACAGCGACCATCTCCACATCCTGGGGATCTGCTCCTTGAGCAAGGTGGACTGCACAGACAAGATGTCCAACAATAAGTTTCCTCTATATCAGGAACCTTGGTTGGTTTCCTAAAACTCTTCAAACCTTCTCTTGAAGACCATCAAGGTCTTGAGTGGTCTTGTTTGGCATGGAAGAGTTCCGACCAAACATGCGTCAAACACATCCAGCTCGAGCTTTGAAGCTAAGAGCATAGCTCAGAGGGAGGCATACTCAGCTGGAGAATCGGCACTTCTTGAAGCCGGTGTCTCTGGATTCAGCGCTTAATAGGACTGGTTCTGGGGCGCCCGAGCGAGTTGGGACATGTGGATTACACAAGATCAAAGACAGGGATGATGATATTTCATGGTGTGATTTGGAACGTACTTCCAACAAATCAGTACTGCTCATCCATACTCTTCCCATCGGACTCCCCCCCGCTCGTCCGTCCATTGGACTCCCCCTGCTTCGACCGCTGCCTGGGTCGCAACCAACGGCCGGCAGCGACTGGACCCGTAGAGATTTTCCCCGCACGGCTGGAGCCGGAAAAGGCCGAGTGGGGGGAAAGAGCTGAAGTTGGATGATACGTTAGCATTTAACGGTGGGTTGATGAATGATGGAGGGTAGTAATGGCGTAATTAGTGAGGAACTCGTCAGAAGGTATTTTGAGTGAGTTTTGTTTGGTCAAGATATACAGTGGTATCCAGTGATTGTTTGTGATCCGCTTTCCCACAAGCTTCTCTCCAGGATGCAGCCAGCAGCGCTGTTGCTTCTGCACAGGCGGCTGCGGAGGTGGGGTGTTGCGGTGGTAGCGAAGTGGTGTTGGATGCTCTTGGCCGAGGTGACCCTTACTAGGTGCAAGTGGGTCATGAGCCATGAGTTTTGTCGGGTTTTGGACCCAACTTTATTGTTACTTGCAGCGTCCACTTCTATATGGTATACGACTTTCTTATACAACACCCTGCTTAGTACTCAAATAATTTCTTTACTTATATGTTCTTTGATCATTCAGTTGATCTTTTACCATGCACTTGTCACGCTGCAGGGACATACAAACATGGTCCACCCATGTAGACCCAGCGGGGTAGTTTACAGCATGCTTCCCGTGTGCGTTGACGCCTACGAGAAAGCTTTGGCGACGCAGAGACAAGGAGTTTGGCGAACCTTCTTAAGAATCTGGGTGCGTGGTGATGTCTCATATGTCCCGTAAGCTAGTTGGATAGTTTGCTTTTGCTTCGGACAACTGGACATCATCTATTGAATCTATTGATCACAAAAAAACAATATCCGGCTGCATTCATACTTGCAGGACTCCAATATCGGAAGCCAAGTATCATGCACCACATACAAGAAGAATCCACTGGATCTTATCTTGATATACCCGTTTCATAGGGAACCTGTGCTTCCAAAGATGAGTCAAGCCCCCAATCAGAGAGGTCCCTGGTCACTGGGATGGATCCCTATGGCATTCCGGCACCGACTCGCCAGGCGAGAACGGCCTCTGAGAAATGATGGAGAAAAGGAGGCAGAGCAGTGCGTGCCAGTGGATGGAGTATCTGACAGGTGGAATAATCGACAGCCATTGATGGTGAACGATGAGGTATCAGGTGTATGATTTATGTCTTTGACTATGTGAGTCTGAGATTCATTGAGTTTTTGCAAGATTGAGCTGATCAAAGCTTGGGGTGACTTTTGTTCACCTTTAGGATGATTGATTTTGGTGCATGTTGGGGTTGTCATGTGCTGCTCCTGCTTGTTTGAAGTGTTGCTCGCATCTTTTGCCACGTGGAGCATGTAGTGAACAGAGAGCAGCGTTTGATGGACACTCACTGCATAGTTGCCTTTTGGCTCTGAGCCTCGATGCTCTACTTTGATCCAGTCAGTCTGATTCAAAACATATGGAATATGCATTGTTGGTGAATGTAATTGTTTGCATGCACTCGTAGGTGTTGGTGACATTGTAGTTGGTTATAGTTGGTTGTAAGTTGGGTGTAGTTTCTGAATGACACGATTTATTAGTTCAGGAAGCTTTCTAAGCTCCAACATTGCAGTTCTCACAGAGTTTTCCCTTCAGAAAGAGACATCCAAGCGCCGCCAAAACAAGTTATTGGTTTTGATTTTCGCTGGCATCAGATTCATGATATGTCCTAGATGTTCAATCATATTTTGTTTGGTTCCTTGACACAGCGCAAAAGTGTGTCGTTCTCAGGTTCCTTGACACAGATCAAGGGCACCCACGTTGAGTGGCCGAGATCAAGACCCTGAGAGCTCGATGGAGCTCCTGCGCCGCGTGATGGCTTGCTGCGCCTCCATCAGCGGAGGGTCGCTTGACGACACATGGCATGTCACCTTGCAAGGAGAAGACATATGGGGTAACGGAATTAGGAGTGTGATATGATATGCCCAATGTCTATGCAACTTGGTGTTGAAGGATTGCAGGTTCCTCGATGTTACTTTATTTTTTTGTGGGACGCAGTATTGTATGTTTCTTTGTGGCTGGACCATGCTCCAAGTATTCACAACCTGAAGGTTTGTTTTGATGTAGTCATAAGTAAAGTCTTGAGTTGTTGGCCTGTTATAAGTCTTGAGTTGTCTACCTAAAGTGGAACCCATCAGTGCAATCACCCCCTATAGTCGACACATTCCCACCTCAGGTCTCAGATCTGGTGGCACAAAACGTCAAGCAGTTGGTGAAGGTCGTGCCATGCGTTTTTCGTTGGAAAGGGAGCAGAGCCTGACATGAAGATCCAGAAATCCATGACGAAACATGTATCACTTTGGATGTGTTCATGTTCAAGGAATCGTGGCGGAAGTGATCTGGCTCAACTGGCACAAAGCTAGGAAAGAGTTCCAAAGTGTCCATTCTTTACTTGATTATACATGTTGCATCATCTTGCTACAGCGGAAGTGAACAATATGACACAGGAATATACACGACACCACCACTGATGTATCCCTTTGAGGCATTGGAGGAAAGATCATTAAGTAATCATGCATCACACTCAAGTTCCACGGATACCATGGCCATGAATTCACTCTTATATTCCAAGGATACACCAGGATATCAAGGAATCATGTAAGCAAACATGTTCCGCCTTTTCTTATCGCTTTCAATGCAATTCCTTCCGATTGACCCCATGAGCTCGGAGAGCTTCTTGGTCGAGGTGCTGCGACGGGTGATTGCTTTTGTGCCGACGGACCTGCGATGTCTCTCACCACTGCGAGTGGTCAGCCGAGATGCCAAAGACCGCGTTGAAGCGCGCTGGTGGAGAGAGCAGGTGCGAAATATGAAGCATTATGTGGACCAAAAGGCATTTTTGTTCAGTGATCACCCAGAGCTGGAGGATGAGCAGGATAATTTAACGTTGGAAGACAGATTGACCTGGATCGTTTCGGAGCAAGAAGCCTTTGCTCGGAATGTTTTGCTCTGGGTTAACCCCCTCCTTCTCAAGGAGCCTTGGAGAGCTGCAGGTGCCGAAGAGGGTGCCAGTGAGGCAGATGCTGAAGCCAGTGAGGTCACTCCACAGGATGCTTTTGGCAATTTGAGGAGAGCCATGGCCTCATTGAATGGGAGGCAGACAGAGCTGCTCCGAGACATCCGGCAACAAGCTCGCCACATCGAGCGCCGCCATTTGAGTCGGAGACACTCCGCACATACGCTGGTTTCGCTGGCAGATAGTAGACAGATGCAAGGAGGTCTCACTTCAGCTGCAATTGCCAACCTTGAGACCACAGAGATAAGAAGGGATTCCTGATGAGCAAGCATTGGACCTACTCAGGCGCATGGACCAAAGGGGTTTCATTGCTGAGGCTGCGTTTTTGGATCCATCAGAAGACATGCGAAGCATTGGTGAAGCCGCATCATCATCATCACATGTGGCAAAGTCTACTAGACCTATTTTTGTGGTAGGTCACGCTGATGACGAGAACCTGCAACAGGCACTAGCTCACAAGGATGCGACAACAGGTGAAACCGAATTACACATGGCAGCTCGCAGAGGTCTTTTGCTTCTGGTACGTATGCTGCTCCAGGCAGGCGCCGAGAAGAATGCAAGGACTGTAGCCGGTGAGACTGCCATGCATTTGGCAGCTCAGAATGACTGCCGGTCTGTTGTCCAAGAACTGCTATGGGCAGGTGCCGACAAGGACGCAACCACAGCGGCCGGCAACACAGCGTTGCACTTGGCAACTCGGAATGACCACTTTCATGTGGTCAAGCAGTTGCTCGAGGCAGGCGCAGATAAGGATGCAACAACAGCTGCTGGTGAAACAGCTTTGCACTTGGCAACTCAGAATGACCAATGGCATGTGGTCAAGCAATTGGTGGAGGCAGGTGCAGATAAGGATGCAACAACACCGGCTGGTGAAACAGCGTTGCATTTGGTTGCAGTGAAAGGTCAGCAGGATGTGGTCCAAAAACTAGTGCAGGAAGGCGCTGACCTGCATGCAAAAACAGGAGCAGGTGAAACCGCTCTGCATTTGGCAGCTCAGACGGGCTACCGGAAGGTAGTGATGCAGCTGCTTGAAGCAGATGCTGATACCGAGGCAAAGACAGCAGCCGGTGACACAGCGCTGCACCTAGCAGTTCAGGAGGGCCACTGGGATGTGGCGGACTGCCTGCTCCAGTCAGCCGAAAAGAATGCAAGGACTGCGGCAGGTGAAACAGCTTTGCACCTGGCAGCTCGGAAGGGCCACTGGCATGTGGTGTGGTGTCTTCTGAAGGCCAATGCTGACAAGGACGCAACGACGGCAGTAGGTGAAACAGCAATGCACTTGGCTGCTTTGGAGGGCCACTGGGATGTAGTCCAGAAGCTAATTGAGGGAGGTGCTGACAAGAGTGCAAAAACAGAATTTGGTGAAACAGCTTTGCATTTGGCAGCTTTGAAAGGCCACCAAGATGTGGTCAAAAAGCTACTCCGGGAAGGTGCTGACCAGTACGCAAGAACAAGAGCAGGTGAAACTTCTTTGGATTTGGCAGCTCAGAAGGGTCACTGGCATGTAGTCCATGACTTGCTTCCGGTATCGGCCTACAGCGTCTACAAAAGCAGTGGTGAAGCAGCATTGCTTTGGGCAGCGCAGATGGGCCACTTTCATGTGGTCGTCTCACGGCTTAAGGCGGTAGGTGCTGACAAGAATGCAACGACGGCAGCTGGGGAAACGGCATTGCATTTGTCAGCGAAAGGGGGCCACCACGATGTGGTCCAGAAGCTGCTCGAGGCATTTGCTGACAAGAATGCAAAAACAACAGCTGGTGAAACAGCATTGCATTTGTCAGCTCATGAGGGCCACCGCGATGTGGTTCAGAAGCTGCTCGAGGCAGGTGCTCACAAGGATGCAAAAACAGCAGCAGGTGAAACAGCATTGCATTTGGGAGCCCGACATGGTCACAGGGCCGTGGTCGCGGAATTGCTAAATGTGCGTGCTGACATTTATGCAACGACAGCATCCGGTGAAACAGCTTTGTATTTGGCAGAGAAGAGAGGCCATTGGTCCGTAGTGTCGCAATTGCGTGCGGCTGCCGAGGCTCATATTGAAACGAAGCGCGAGATTTGCTGCTGCTGCTGCTGCATTTCAAGCGCATTCGCAATCGCACTGGCACACTGTTTTTTCGGCTAAAAAAAGATGGCTGGCAGCTGGTGCGAGCAAATTTGGGGAAGCCTAGGGTGCCATACACAGCCACCTGTTTCCAGGCTATGAGAGTTGGGATGTCTTCAAACAAGTCCTTGAATTGGTTGCTTATTCAGTTTAAACTTCAGCTGCTTCCCAGTTTGGGAGCTAGGAGCTTTGTAGCCTTCACCACTTCCCAGGAGCAGTGGTGTGCACACCATGCTGCCTGCATGGAACGCCACCCCTCCTCGCATTGCTTGGAGACGAAGGCGTAAATTTCCGGGTGCAACTGGGAGGGTGGAGAATGTTCTCATTTCTCATGCTAAAACATTTCTGTGGAGCTGTGGAGCTGTGTGGTCAAGCAATGCCCTTGTGCACAATTGTGGATATCTTTGGCAGCCACCCAACAATATCGAGGAACCTTTGTACACCCCATATTCAATCATATTCATAGATAAGGTCACCAACATGTTCCACGTCTTCCCACTGACCATATTCATCTCAAGTCAGGGTGGCAGTGAAGTGCCCAGCTCAAAGTTTATGGAAGATCACCTTCAGACTTCGAGGTGAACAATTTGATGGCCACGTGGAATGGGTTGTGTGTTGGGTGTGCGTTTGACGCATTGGTTGGATGGGGCGAACTGGTTTGCTTGTAAAACTCCAAATTGATTGGATCACCCAGAAAAAAAAAAGAACAAGGCTTTGGTGGGGATGCCTACAAGCACAGTACTTTAGACAGGCGTAACACATCGATCATTCATACGGGGTTCTCAGCTGGAGATCAAATCACATGGTATGTCATGTTATGTCCCTTGGGTTTCTTTGTAGAATTTATCACAGGGCAATGGTCAATATGGTTGCCGTAGTTTGGTTTGGAGAAATAGCATGTTACGATCATGCTGGATCCCTGTCGCCCCACCTCGTCAGGTAAAAACATTGATCCTGCCTTTTGCCAGGCCTTTGACGCTGAAGTGATTTGCAAAATGCGGTGAGCACGTCTTTCGGTGCGGTCAGAGATGCAAGTTTGCCCACAACACTGTGGCTATTGATGCACGTGTTCCATGCAAGATATGTCAGGCCACCTCGTCAAACGTTCGTGATGTCACGATTGAAGATGTGTGAAGATTGGATACTAAGTTTTTCTGCACCACATTAATCAAACGGGCGTGCTTATTATTGATAATTTCCTTTCATTGAGAATGCTCTTTGGATTCATGCTGCCTGAATTGCTGTTTGCCTCCAGCAAGAATTGTAGTCATGTCATGAGTGGAAAGAAAATGCCGTGGTCGGTCGAACATGGGCATAACATGGTATAACGCTAGCAAGAAGTCGTTACCTATCCAAATCATATAGAAGATGAAAGGTCACTCTGAAGGACCACAAATTCACTCATGGCTAAGGCTCAGCTGATATGCAAAAGCTGATGATTTAAACATGCTGTCTGAGAAACTCCAACTCAACAGGAGCAGCAGCACTTGAGCGTCACCCAGAAAGTACGTCTTACCAGCCAACAAATGATATGTAACCTTGCAGCCATCGATCGCCTACCGAACCAAACCGTTTCGTTAGCTTTCTTCTCGGCCCGTGCGCATTTGACGGTCCCCCTTGGCTTCGGGACCATGCAGGTGAGCACCGATCCGGACAGTCCGGGGGCCCCAATTGAGTTGACTCCTTGTCTTGCGCGGCAGAAGGAGCTGGAGGATCTTTGGTAAATAGAATTGATTACAGAAGAAAGCACTTGAAAGCACCCATGTTTTGAGTTGTTGAGCGAGTTCGGTGGAGGCGTTTGTTGTTCAACAGACAAACTTCGCAAATAACAAGTTTTCGGAGTTCGGATCGGCTCGCTTTATGCATTCCAAGCCGCTACATAGAACATATAGTATATCAACCTCTCCCGCAACACCACCAAAACCATTCAACAGTTCCGACACCGTTTTGATGTTGGCAGCCTTCTTCCGATCCTTTTGTCCACTTGCTTCGCTCCACTCGCTTCCCTTTGTGCGCCTTGCCTTCGCGTGGTCCGCGCTGAGGAACTCCGCAGAGCGATGGCTTGGCGCAGTTGGCCTCGACCCTCCGAGGGCCGCTCGATCAGACCTAACAACCGAGCACGGGGAGATGGACCACGCAGACGCCGGCTGTACACTGTACCGGAAAGAGGTGACGTTCCAAACAGTGTAAAAAAGAAATGGGGAGCACTGGCTGGATGGTTTTGGTTGTAGGTGAAGAGGAAACCAGCTTGAAATCTAAGTTTATGTTGATTATATGGCGCTGATTTGTTCTTCCTCCTGTAGTTCTTTAATTGCAGGGGCTGGTATTTCAACCAAGGGTTATGTTTTCTTTTGAACATGAGGCTTCAGGTGAGCTGAGCAGAATCTTCTCACATGCTGAGTACGGCCTTGTCATAAGGCAATCACATGTTGAAGATACCATGCGTGGAAGCAACGTTGTTGTTTTGTTCCTTGGAAGCTTGGAAGCTTGAAAGGCGGGCAAATAGATTGACACCTCAATCGAACTTGAAACCTTCTACTGTAGGTAGGCCCTTCCTGATTGACTAGGCCCTTGTCTTCCCAGCTACGCAGGTTTGGTGGGTGTCCATCTCCTGCTTGTAAAACAGTGTAAAAGAAACATATCTTAAGGCGTTTTTGCTTGAAGTTCCTGTAGGCCTTTCCAACTGTTGGCCTTTCTCATCCACACTTCGTAGAGTTGTACAGTACTGACTGTAACTATAACCCATGAGAACTTCCCTTCTCACCCCCATTCCATCTGCCCGTTCTCCCCCCAAAAAGACCGACGTCTCCGGACGATCTCAGCGGCCTCGCCTCCGAGGCTCTCCGCCTTGGCGTCGGAGCCTCCGAGCCTCGCTTCCGCGGAGTTGCTGGAGGCCTGGCGTCAGGCGGGGGGTCGCGATGGGGGTCGGAGGGGGTCGGTGGAGTCGGTGTTGTGTTTTTTTTCCTTAGGACAGGGGAAGCCTCACCTTGGGTGCTTTTGTTGGAAAGACCTGAGTTCTTTTTTTGGGGGGGAGGAAGCTGTTGTTTAGGAGGATTTGTTTTTGGTGGGGAAGCTGATTTCAGTGGTTTAGTGGATGTGTTTGCGTAAGTAGGGACATTTTGGAGATTTCCACGTGTCAGACACTCCCTCTCTCTCTCTCTGTCTCTTGAGACAATATCTCATCGAAAAGGTAGTGACCGTGAATGTCCAGGTTTCATTAATCTTTGATGTGTTTCTGCTTGTATTGCCAGCTGGCTGGGTGGATGCAGTTTGACAAGTTTCCTTCGCTTCACTTACTCCGAGCCAGCGGGTGAGGCAGGTGAAACATTTTGGCCCACCAACTTGCAGAAAAGCAGGTAACGCTGAAGAATGTCTACAATAGATGGCTAAAGTGACTCATTCCCTCCTTCCGGGTCCTACCACCCCAATTTCATCCCGTCCTGTGTTTTCTTGCCGTGTTTGACTTTACTCTTCCTGTTGGCTGCGAGGTGAGTCCACTTGATCTATACAGAGACCCTCATGTGTCCGCCAGCTTTCCCCACCCGCTTTTCCCCTCTTGCGACGCTTTCCACCTGGTCAGGTGGCATCGTTGCTTAGTGAAGCAGCCTGCAAGGTGGGCTCGGGATTGGAGCTTTGTGCCCGGAGGAAGTGCAGGGGGGGGCAAATGCGCAAAGGATATACATGTCTTCTTCATTTTTGTTCGATCCAGTTTTTTTAATTTATATAGATGTCTATAATAGCTGGTGGAAGTCTAGGGAGAGGGAGGACACATCATGTTCGTAATGTTGTCCTTGTTGATCATGGATGGCTGATCCTGTCAAATTAGTAGTGTGTTTTTTTGAATTCGTGGTTCGTTCAAGTTAGAGGGAGTCGATTCTCCAGAGGAACAGCCAGCACAACGAAAGCCTGCAGTCACCCGACAGGCAATGAATAAGTATACTTATGATTTGTTTGGTCCGTTTGATCCTCCTTGTCAGATCCTCAAAAAGCCTCACGATAGGCCATTTTGCACTGTGCATTCCGTGGCGCGGGGGATTTGGCACAGGTCTCGGATTTGCTGGCCGTGACCAAAGAGGCTCAGCAGGACACCATGCAGCTTCCTGGGTCTTGTCTCGGTGTTGCTTTTTGATGGCATGTTTGTGGTGGAATTTTGTTAGTTCTGTGAACAGTGTGAAAGCCAGACAGCATGATGGCTGAAGACGTGTCTCATTGAATGTGCTGAAAGGCTTGTGGTTCATAGATGAAATCTTACATCACAGGATGCCAAAGGACTCTGAAATCGTGCAGCATCACTGAATCTTGCAGCAGCTTTCCGAAGTCCTTTCTTCAACGGTCCTAAAGGTGTATCATCGCCTGGATCAGCTCAAGTTCCTTTCTCATTTTTCGCATTTGGTTTTTGCCTTCAATTTAATTCCAACCAACCCATGGCTTTGCCGGCCGAACTGCTGCCAAAGGTGCTTGCGTTCGTTCCGACAGACCTGCGATGTCTCTCACCACTGCGAGTGGTCAGCCGAGATGCCAAAGACCGCGTTGAAGCTCGGTGGTGGAAAGAGCAGGTACGAAATATGAAGCATTTTGTGGATCGACATGCATTTTTGTTTAGTGATCACCCAGAGCTGGAGGAAGAGCAGGAACATTTGACGTTGGAAGATAGATTGACCTGGATCGTTTCGGGGCAAGAAGCCTTTGCTCGGAATGTTTTAGTTTGGGTGAAACCCCTCCTTCTCAAGGAACCTTGGAGAGCCGGAGGTGCCGAAGAGGGTGGCAGTGAGACAGATGCTGAACCCAGCAAGGTCACTCCACAGGAGGCTTTTGGCAATTTGAGGAGAGCCATGGCCTCATTGAATTGGAGGCAGACAGAGCTGCTCCGAGACATCCGGCAACAAGCTCGCCACATCGAGCGCAACCATTTGAGTCAGAGACGCTCTTCACATACGTTGGTTTCGTTGACAGATCGGAGGCAGATAGAAGGCCCCACTTCAGCAATGTTGGCCACTCTTGAGACTACAGAGATGAGAAGCGAAGATGCCGTATCTGATTCCTTGGCCCACACTGAAATGACTAGAGAGCCATATGCCAATCCTGCAGTGATGAGGCTTTTCAGCCAACAAGGGATTTCTGATGAACAAGGATGGGAGGTGCTTAACAGCATGGTTGAGCAGGGAATCGTCCCCAATGCAGCAGTTTTTTTGGAAACATTTGAACACATGTCTGAGACAGAGTCTGAGTATAGTGACAGAGCAGACCCATCACATTTGATTGAGACAACACCCTTCTCTCCCCAAACTCGAACACCCTTTTTGCAAGAACGTGCAGCAGACAACGACTTCCAAGATCGCAGGCACATGGAAGGCCACACTGTGGCTGACGAGCTTGACACCACAGAGTTTGGAAATGAAGACGCTACACTTGATTCCTTTACCCACTCTGAAATGACGCGAGAGCCATACACACACCCGGAATCGACGGTGCAGTTAAGCCAACAAGGGAGTTCTGATGAACAAAGGTTGGAGCTGCTCAAGATCATGCTTGGGGTCTTCAGAACAAATGCATTGGTGATTCCGCAACCATTTCAAAGCATGTCTCAGATTGGCAGCACACAATTGAGTGAGGAAAGGCTCACTGTGTCAGAGGTTATGTGCAACATCAGTGAGGCAAGAGCTCGCTTTTGGAAGGCAGCTTGGAATGGATTCTTCACTTTGGTGCATCGCCAAAATACAACAGCGGTAGGAGCTCTCAATGTAGTAGCAGCCAAGAAGGTTCAGATTGTGGAGAAGCCGCTCTTTGCAGGTATTGACAAGGATGCTGTTGAGGCAGGTGCTGACAAGGATGCAAAGACAAGAGCCGGGGAGACA